GACGATATATTCTCATCTCTTACGAAAACAATATATATAAATATATACGATTAGAAAATTAAACAATAAATTCATCTGTTATACTTTTCTTTTCAGGAATTATAGTTATATGATTCTAGACCTCTAAAGAAAATAAAAGGATGGCAACATTTATGTACATATGTTTAGATAGCATTTTTAAGATTTTGACGAAATAAAATAAATTATACCAATTAAAAATAAACAAAATAAAACAAACTTTGTATTTTTGGATCACCTCCAATCACACAAAAACCAATATGAATTTTATATCCAGTCTTCACAATTAAAAACATGAGTTGACCCTCTCTGAAATCATGTAATTCTCTCTTTTGTACGTTAATATTTCTATTTCTTTTCCAATTTTTCAGAATATCATAAGTGAAATATCTATGTATTTTTTACCCATAAATACAATCAAATTTTAATGTCATGTTCGAATTATATGTTGTCTTTTTTTTTTCTTTACTTTCATTTTTTTTTTTTCATATTCTTGGTTGATATTTGTAAAAGGAACTTAAATTCAGATAATTCTTTTTGTCCATGTAAAGGTTATTCACTATTTTCGAGATACTTTTCATATGGATATGCAAGTTCATCCCCAATACCCGTAGATGATACTATTTTATTATTAAAAAATTATTCTTTTTAGTTAAATAAATTACATTACTATGAAAAATATAATTTTATTTTCCATCTCTCTCCCTCTCTCTCTCTCTCTCTCTCTCTCTCTCTATCTCTCTCCCTCTTTGTACTTTTTTATTATTCAAAGAAATTTATCAGAAAATAAAATGACAATATATAAAATATTATTTGAAAGTTTGCAATTTGTTATTAACCAGATTAATGAATTCTTATATCGAACTTTAGATAATTGAGAAATATCATCAATAGTAAACATAGTTATTTTTATTTTGTGGTAAACAATTGATATTCTTTTATTATTAAAGTATATTATTTGTAATCCATATTAAATTATAATAATATCATAATATATTTATACATAAACTAATCTATACTGATAAATGTATTATTTTGAATTAAGTGTACAAATATTTATTTTTATTATTTAAATTATCCACATAGGATTTAAAAATTTATTTCAAAGCCAGGAATATCGAAGTGCAAGTCCCAAAGCATAATTATGTAGGAACTTAATTATTGACTAATGATTGTACTCATTGTTTTAATGATATATCATAGTTAGAAATTGATAAAATTTATTGTTAGATAATATATATTGTTTTGAACAATATGTCTCTTCTAATTTAATAAACTATATTATATGTAAGATCTAACTTTTATTATATTTGTCATCGCTTTCTCATTATATCTTCTTATATTTAATTTGTTTATATGTATAATATGTTTTAATACAAACATGTCGTGCTCATAAACATAAATGATGTTTTGAAAGAAAAATATTTTTTATTGATATTCCAATTGTATAGATATGTTTATACCTTTAATTTTGATAATAAAAGTCAATATTTATAATTTTATGTTTAGTTATTATAATGTTTTTCAGCAAAAAAATTACTCAATGAATTAAACATAAAGACATCATATAAAAATGACAAATTTTAACCTTCTAAGTTCTATTAACTTTTATTTTGCCGCTTTATATAATTAACTATGATAGGTTTTATATTATGTAGTTAAGAATTTACAATTTCAAAATGACCCACGAATGTGAAAGATGTATAAATAAAATTAAGACTACATTAGGTTCTTATATTGTGGTTCTATAATGAAAGATATTATGATTTTATAATTGAAAAACTCAAATGGATGTTTTGAAAATTTAATGTATTAATCAATTGAGGACAATTAATAGATAATTTAACATTAAACATAGTATTACTTTTTGTTTGATTTCATTATTAATTGTATTGAGATGTGTAGAATTAGCACAACATTCTAAACAATTGTCAACTTGTTCAACATTCCCAATAATATTATTCTAGTATAAATAATTCCAATAGAGGTTTAAATTTTTGGACAATATTTATTGAATTGATCAAACCATTAATAAATAACATTTAATACAAAATGGGAGGGAAAACAAAACTTTTTCAACCTGCTTTGCTTTTATATATATATAGATTTATAATTGTTTATTTCTATTGATGCAAGTGCACAGACTTTATTACTAGTTCATACTTTTATGTCGGAGTATGATATTTAAGAAAAATAAAACAACATAGATAAAAATATAAGTAATATTTAAAATTTTGAAGGTATTTTATTAATTTAAAATTTTGAAATCATCTAAATACTATCTAATTGTAACAACTAGTGTTGTAAATGAACCGAACCGAGCTTGGGCTGTTCGAGCTCTTGTTCGTTTATGTTCGAACAGTGTTCGTGTTCGTTCGTTTATTTTTTAGCAAAAATTCATGTTCGAGCTCGTTCGTTTAATTGTTCATCAAAGTTCGAGTTCGTTCGTTTTCGAATAATTTAATAAATAAACTTTTTAAATATGTTTGATTAACTTAAAGTTTGTTTGGAACTCGAAAATAAAAGAACAAAATAATTTTTTTTATATATTTTAGATTTTTTATTAAAAATATTATGTTAATATACAAAAAATAAAATAAAATTGTATTAAATTAATCTTAGCGAACATAATCAAACGTTTACGAACGAGCTCTTGTTCGTTCGATTATTAAACGAGCCTAATTTATTTTCTATTCGAACTTGGCTCGATTAACAAACAACGAGCTTTTGTTCGCGAACGATCGGTTCATTTACAATTCTATTCACAGCAAATCCGTACTATAAGTGAAAGGTATATAAGAAAATACCACAAATTGAGTAAGGCTGTAAAGAAATTCAAAAGCCCAAACTATGGTTACAGCAAGTAATGATACAATCTAGTGTGGGAGACAATATAAAGGTCAGAAAGTGACCACATGATAAAATTGGGCCTACTAATATATGCTCTAATCTGTACCCACCAACATGCTCCATATTCAACATATATTATTGCATAGATATTTCTCATGTAGTTTGAAGGGCCCGGGTGCATTAAACCCACGTTTTATTTTATTTTTTAAGCCACCAAAATTTCTAAAATATACAGCAAACTATTTTCATTTATAACATTGAGTAATAATAATATTTTAATAGGAAAAACTGAATTTTGATAATTGGCAAAATACAACACATTCTTTTCAATTTTGACAAAAATAAAACAGTAATTCAAAAAAATTGCATAACTATTTCCCAATCAGTGACGAGTTGGCTCGATTGCATCGAATTTTTTCGGATCCGCGGCGACAAAATAGGTAAAATTTATTATTGCTTTGGCAGAAGAGGACACAAAATTAAAATATCAAATAATTTATGGATGATAATAATTCAAAAAATCTACGTTTTTTATATGTTTAATAGTGTATTTTATATGCTTAATCTATTCGGTTGTTTTTATTCTTTCGACATATTTATTATTTGGATGAAATTATATATATTCTTGAATGTTTTATGTTTTATTTTTCAAAATTTTGCAGTATGTTTGTGAATCTAAAATAATAGACAGAAGTTCACTCCATTAATTATCCAACACTACTTCATTTTCATTTTGGCCCAATTCTATAAGGATATGGAAACAAATTGGAAATAAGAAACCAGGCCCAGTTGAAAATCCCTTTAAAAGTGTGCAAACATTAGTTATAATAATTATTATTTTTCCTTAACTAATTAATCGATCATAACTCTCTTTAATTTCCAAAATATATTTCTCGATTTATGCGTGTCATCCTTGCGCGGAGGCCATGCTAATCCACATAATTGAGTACTAAATTAAATCAAAGAAAGAAATGCGATTATTGCATAAAAAAAATAATAAGATCATACAATATTTTTTCCAATTATAATCCAACCATAATTAAGAACATAAACTTCATAACTAATTAACTTCAAGCACTTCCTTCTTCTATATAATTAACTATGGAACTTCCATGCTTGGCACTGCTCGTAGTTGTCTTGCTTATGCTTCAGACACGGCCCGTCTTTCGTCAGCACCCACAGACAAAAATCGTCGCAGAATTCGGAAATTTTGTAGTCGTAAACACCGTAATTCCCATAGCCACTTTTCGTCGCCAAGTCGCAGTAGAATTTTGTGGTGCCGAAGAAGTTGACGCGAAAACTCCACCCGAACTCTGCCCCATAAGGAAGATGATGTAACCCTAGATTGTCGTCTGCCGAATAGCAACGGATTTGGACGGAATTGTCGTTCTCGATGCCGTTCTTCACGACGACCCTTACCTTCTGCAAAATCGCTGCTTCGGACAATATAATCGTCGTGTGATTATTAGCAAAGTGTAAGAAGAGTAAATGCATGAGAAATGTAACTAGTTTGGATGTCCTCATGGTTAATATGAAATGATGTGATGATGCAAAAGGCTGTTATATGAAGATCAATATATAGTGATGCCGTCTAGAATTATTTTTGGAATTTATTCACATTATTATTTATGAAATTCCATTGATTGTTCTATGGATTCTATAAATTATATATAGTGATGACATTTTATTTATTTTTAGTTTATAGAATTATATAGATTGCCTAAAGAATATTCTATGAATACCTAGTGAATTATATGGAATCCTACCATTTGTATTATCAATTTTTTTTAAATTTAATTTTAAAATTTCTAATTTACGAATAATTTAAATTTTTTCAACTGAAAAAAAAAATGATTAAATTTAGACAATGTTATGAATAACTTCCTTATCAAAGCTATTATATAGATGATAGAAATACAATTCCTAAAGTCTATTGTAAGCAATTAATTTAAAAAAAAAAAAAAATTATGTTCGGTCAAATCCTGCATAAACAATTAAACAATGTTATTCTAAATTTACATTTATAATCGAATATGAAGCAATATCCATGAATTTATTAAAATTTTGTCACTTAAATAATACATTGTTATAAATTTTTATTATCTAATTTTCAAAGTTAGAGTATGGAAACTTCGATAATCGTTACATGAATAATGGAAAATTTGATAATCGTTACATGAATAAACATGTTAATTTTAAATAATAACTATTTTTTCGCTTAAATTTTATTTTACTATATTTGGAAACTATTTTTAAAGTGCTTGTTAAAA